ATATTCAAGGTAAACATATTCCTTATAGAAAGAAACGAGTAGCAGCAAGTACAAAACCAAGTTGGCTCACAAAGAGTTTAAGAAATTTTATTTCTCAGGCAGGGTGGTTCGCCTTTGGAACAGGTTGCTTTCAGATGTTGTGGAGGCAGTAAATTTAAGCGAGTTTAAGAGAAAGCTTGATAACTATATGAATGATAAGGGCTGGCTTTAAGATTTTTTTTTTAATTTATTCATTAACAGTTTTAGTTTAGTTTAGAAGATGGAACAGCCGAGATGGACCAATAGGTCCCATGTTGTCCCAAAACATTATATGTTACGTAATAGTAGGGTCAGTGTAGTATTTTTGAGCAAAATACAGATTACATTTTTTTAAGGTATATCTTAAATAGATGAATTTTGTGGATAGACTCAAAGGGTATATAGATTGGACAATATTTTCTTTTTGACAACACTGACATTTTTCTAAAGACTAAGCCTAAGAACTTGCATACAGAACACATAGCCAGCCTTTGGATATTTTTAAAAATCAATCAAATACATTTATCACATAAACAGATTAACATACATAAACATTCAACAAAAAAGTAGCCTTAATAATCACTGCAAAATCACTAATACAATTTTTAGTACACAGAACAACTCAATTTATTTTAAATATACAAGGCTAACTTGTTCAAAACATAACCTTAGGAAAGTTTTTTTTTTACTCAAAAACATTTTATAAAAATGATTAACTTGACAGTAGAAGCAGATACCTGTGCTTCAAATAGGAGACTGGAATTATGATTTATGAGTCAATATCTTGCACATTTTCTTAAATCATATAATTTTCTGTCTTATTCTACAACAAAATGTACTGTTAGAACTGTTGATAAATTCTGGAATAAACTCACCAAAGTTTAAAAAGAAGAGGGCATGAAGAGTTTTTTTTATAGTTTGTGCCATTCTCACCGTAAACTATTGATCTGATTATGGAATACAGTTATTTTTAAAAGTAAATAACATACTTAAAAGAACAGTTACATCTTTGTTGAAAAGAAAAAGATTACATTACATTGTCAAACTGTCTATGCTGATGATGACATTCATTCCAGTTTCAGCTTATTTTTGTTTTGTATTTTAGTTTGTTATGAGGTACCTAAGATCTTGAACTAACTCTTTAAAAAAAAGAAACATGATAGGAATACTTCATCATTAAATTTTGTTAAAGGGAGGCTTACCTTGATTGCTTACAATTTATGCAAACAGGTGGAGCCATGATAACACATCACTTAAGATCTAATTTTAACATTATACTGTTTGACAGAAAGGGAAAAATAAAGACCATGAGTTATAATACAGTTTTAATTTACACATCAAGAAATAAATACATTTATCCCCATTCAGTATTTATTAATCAAATGTCACAATTGTTTACCCTGGTGTGTACAAACAAGTCCATGAATCAGCAGCAAGAAAACACATCTTATCACTCAAACAGCTGTAATGCTCCAAGATTTTCTTTTACAGGAATTTGGAACTTGTTTTCCTACTTTATCATTTTCAGCAGAAGAAAATTGAGAACCACTGAGTAAGAGGACTTGAGCTGAATCATGCTTTGAAGCTTCTGAAGATCCTATTTTTGTTTTGGCTGGATTTGTATTATCATCACAATCACCAGCAGCTCTGCCTTGATTTTCCTTTACCTGAGTTTCTGAAGGAGAGTGTGAGTTCACGTTTATACTGGCTGGTTTAATTGTACTAGCTTGGCTTTCATCATTTTCATCCTCCTCACTGATGACTGACTCTTCACGCTGTAATAAGCTGCTTGGCTTATAGGGAATGTAGTTCCCTAGTCGAACATTAGCTGGAATATATAAGGCACTCTGTTCTTCCAGGCTGCTACTGTTTGAGGATCCTGATTCTGAAAAGTCTGAGTGAGCAAGATTTGACTGTATACTATGCAGCTGACACGATGGGCTAGACTGCGAGCTATAACTTGTTGTGGTACAACAGTTACTTTTGTCTTGATTGTCACTTTCTCCATCAGAACCTCCTAGAGGACAAAAATCTTTCAAGTGATGGTGACTGCTTTTTGGACTATCTTCTAAGTTCTGTAGCTCAAATGGCATAGGATTTGGAGTATTTTGAAATAGGGGACGAAGACGTCGAAAACGTGGTGGCGTTCCAGACACATTCTCCTCATTCTCGGTGTCTGTTTCTCCACTTTCGCTGTCTATTCGCACTTTCTGAGGAGAGTGATTTGTCTTACCTTTTGTATGGTTTGCCACAAGATGATTACGCTCTTTGTAGCTCTTCTTGTAGCTGTATGTCTCCACCTGTAGCTTTGTCTCTGATACTTTCTCAGTTGGCAGTTCTTCAAGAGCATCTAAATAGTATGGGCTGTCCTTCATCATTTCAGGTTTTACATACACTACCAAAAATAAAACACTTAAATTAGTTCTAATTTAATATGTTGAGATTCAGTTATAATAGCACTATATAGCAATTTACTCTTATTTCTGTAAACATAAAACATAAACTATCTGAGACACATATCAATAATCTAATTAAAATTAAAAAAGGGCAAGTCAGTTGACAGTGTTTCATAACTTCTGTAAGCATAATTTATCACTGACACTAATGATACAAAAGAAACCTATTATATTAACTGCTGTTTTACACAAGATAGAAAAAAGAAAATATCTTGCATGTCTTTCTTTACCTTAAAAACAAGTCTAAGATTTATTTGTATTATCTTTAATTTTACAAAATTACTCATCAGTTGACTTTATGATGTATATTAATTTAAAAACTAATTTGTAAAAATCTGCCAATGGCAAAAATTTGTATCAAAAACTAAGATCATATTACACTGCGTATAGATAAATTATCTTTTACGATAAATGGTTTCCCAGGTGGAAAACACAGTTTTATAATAAACAATAAAAACATGGCAATACCAAAAAACACATTTAATTATGGATTTTTCAGAAATGCTTCAACCTGTGCTCCACATATCTTAATCTACAGTCTGAAATTTCTTTTTTACATGACATCCTGAAACGTAACTGCTATCCACAACACTTATTAGAAAACGTTACCAACACCTTGCTAACAAAGAAACTCACAAATCCAATTAAGATACCAACTGTACCTAAATTTACTATATACTCGTGTCTTCCTTATACTGGCAAACAAAGCTTAAATTTAAAACAAAAAACTTAAATGCATACTTGGTCGTTACTACCCTCAAGTTGATTTAAGATTAGTTTTTAAATCCACATCACGCATAAAAAATTTCTTCCCTACTAAAGATCTCCTCCCCATTCCTTATTGTTCTTGGCTTGTCTATCTTTACACGTGCGGAGACTGTAAGACCTCCTATATTGGCAAAACCAAACGCCATTTAAAAGTCAGAGATCATGAAATAACTTTTTGAGGTTATGGTGATGACAGAATTTGAAGCAATTTTGAAATGTCCACAATTAAAGAGTTTTATAATATTATTTTGAGGCCCCTCACGAGCCAGTGGGGGACATTTTTGTTGAAAAAAAAAACAAAAATAAATATCAAATCCAGTTTTTCTTAATTTGAACTGAAATTTTTTGGATATTTTTACTGACTAAAAAGAAGGCACATCCCACACTCTTTTAGCATTGGGGCCGTGAAAAGTGACTTGAAGTGGTAAGGTGACTGAAATACGTCAGTGCATCACGAGCTTAACAGCCAAGTACAAGAAGCATGAAAGTCTCCAAATGATACACAAAGGTATTCAGGAATCGCTTAGAACCAACTTGGTAGACACTGTGCAGCAAGCCGAGTACAATATTATGTCTGTAGCTGCTTTCAAAGTGTTCCTGTCTGCTCATACTACTGCTGACTACCATGATGCTTCGATCTTCCCTACCAAATTGCAAGTGAAATCATTAGTATCTCACCTTAAGCTAAACATAAAAAGGTGAGAGCAGAAGCCTAAAAGGTTGACAATTCCTTAATTAATGCTGCTTAGAATATGACTTTATTGATATATACTGAATTTACTCCCCGTGGGTAGACCTTAGTACTAGCTGGTACAAAGTCTTTAGGATGCTGTATTTCATTTAAAAATTTATCAATTAACAAATGAAAGCTTGTCTCAAAAAGATACATCCAAAACTACCCTCTTTTGGATTTTCCAGATTGAACTTACTTTTAATATTCAACAAATTGTAGTGTAAAAACACCCCTTGGATCCTGAGGGACATGTTAAAAACATAAAGAGTTTTGTCGATTATGTCCATCATTATATATATTCCATATTTTAATCAATAAATTCATTGTTCTGCAAAGGCCTTACCACCTGTTACCCAAATCTATCTCAATCCTGGTTTGCCCTCTGAGCATTACTAAAACAATTTTCCCTAGCGGTGCACCATTCTTTTATACCCCATCAGTTTGAACCATTTCTGAACATGTTCTGATCTTGTGACTACCCTCCATCAATCATACTGCACCATCAATACAAGTGCAGCTAGCTCTTTCTACTATTCTAGAACAATTCCCACTTTCTTGATTGTCATTCTAGTGTTTAAACATGTGTTTTAACACCATGTAACTACACAATTTTTATTGTGCTTGATCACACATTGATGTCAGTTTCATCTTCAAGTTTTGACTTATTGTGTTTGATTTACATTGATTCTACTAGTTTGTTTTCGAAATATTTCTGTTCTCTAAATTTTAATTTGTTCATATGAATTCAATATTTAATGTGCCGAATAATGAAATTCTCGTGATAGGAGACAATGGTTCTGACATGGGTCCTCAGACCTCAGGGTCGACAATCTTTGCTGGAAAAGCACAGGCCATATTTCGATGGGGAGTTTGTGTCTTACGTTTGGCTGATGATTTCTTCCATTTCACATTACGTTTTTTGTGAGGAAGGATATAACAACCGAGTGGATATTTCTTTCTACTGCACTTTCCACCTGTTACCATGCCTCCACGCAATATGCTGGGTTAGTTATTGTTCTTCTTCCCTGGAGATCTGTGGTAAGTTTTTCAGTGTGTATTCCTCCCTCCCAGTAGGTATACTTATGTTTGGCAAGTTTATGTGAGCTTGTGTGGATGGACCCAATTTCTGGACTCAATAATTTTGATCTTTCATGTCTTCTCTGCTGAATATTTGGTAAGTTATATTTATATAATTCTTTTAACACCTAAGTTACTTTGGTTTAAATTTGCTTTTATAGTTTGATTATTACTTTGTTTTTGTTTAATTTTCGGTATATTTACGGGTTTTGCACACTTTTGGTGGAGTGAGGGGCTTTCCTCAGTTCCAAAGAGATTTGTGGTCTTTTGAGGAGGCTACTCTCCATATCAACATCCTAGAACCTTTGGCAGTTCATTCAGGCTCTGTATCATTTCCTTCCACTCCTGTGGGTGCAGGTGGTTATGGTTCATTCTGACAATTCCACTGTCGTCAGCTATATCACCAGGCAAGAGGAAACCAAGACCAGATCTCTGTGTTTTCAAAGTCTGGACCTCCTGTATTAGGCCAATGACTATAATATGACAGTTCTGGCATGTCATGTTCCCAGAATTAAGAATCTTGTAGCTGATCGCTTATCCCACCCCAACCAGTTTCTTTCCATGGAGTGGTCCCTTCATCCTTGGTTATTTCTGTGGGTGTGTTCTTAGCTGAGAAAACTACATGTGAATGTGTTTGCCACTCAGTGGAATGTCAAAATTCCTTCCTTTTGGTCTCCAGTTCCTCACCCCTCAACTCTTGGGGATGGACACTTTCAATCAAGATTGGAAGGGTCTTCATATATATATGTCTACCCTTTGAATAGACTCCTCTCTAGGGTAAGTTCCCTTATACAGACCAATTCCTTATATGTTCTGCTGGTTGCTCCATATTGGCTGGTTTAGACATGGTTCCCTCTGCTCTGGCCCTTACTGAAACAGCAACCACTGCACTTACTTTTGTCCCAATTGATCCTCTAACAGCCATGATTGGACGTATTTCATCCCAGCATTGCCAAATTCCATCTTCACACATGGCTTTTTTAGGTCCGATGCCTCAGCTCAGGAACTCACCCCTCGCGTAGAAACTTTCCTTGCACATACCAATCACCCTTCCTCCTTGTTTATGTACTGGAGGGATTGGTCTTACTTCAAACTTTAGTCCATTTGCCATGGCTTCTGACCATCCCATCCTTCTGTTACTCACCTGTCCTAGTTCTTCACCCAATTGTTTGATCAGGGTTTATCTGTTTCAACTGTTGGTTGTTATAGGGTTGCCCTGACGAACACCTTCATTCTCCCACTCCCAGAAAGCCTTCTCCTACTTGATTATTTCCCTCCTTTTGTCTGGTCTGTCAGCCATGTCTGTCGGATCGGAATCTCAATGTTGTCCTTCATGCCCTATCTGGTTCTCCCTTTGAACCCATTGCAGTGTGTTCCTTATCCCATTTTTTCTTTATGACCTATTTCTTCCCCCCTCCTGGCATGTGGTAATCGTTGTTCCAATATTTATGCCATTAATATTTCCTGCGTCCTTTATCATTCCTCATATGTTATTCTCTATCTGGATTGGGCCTTCCTTCCCTGGACACCGGCTACTCTGAAAGGTTGTTTAGCCTTTTCTTCTACTTCCTTACTTTCCATTTCCCACCTGTACTCCCATTGGAGTGCGGATCGACTACTTTGTCTAGTTCATTACCTCCCATATCATATGATTCGTACTGCCTCCTTTCATGGTTCTTGTTCCGATCTATTTCTTCTGTGGAATTCTATCACCTATTACATTCACTGTTTGGGTTCATCTACTCATACAACTGACATATTTTGACTTGTTCATGGAAGGTTGCCAATTACATCTTCGCACCAAATTCGTCACCTAACCATGTCTTTAGCTGCTCGAAACTCATCATTGGAGGAGATCATTCAGACTGGTATGTGGACAACTTTCAATACATTTGTTCACCTTCCACTGGGGTTAGTCAACATATTATTATTTTTTTATCTTATTTAGTTGACATACAACATATTTCAAGATCCCACCTAGTGGTGGGTGTCACCTGGTCAGGTATGCTTGTTATTATATCAGCACTAAATCTGTATACTTCTATAATGCTCACTGTTGAAATGGAGCATTGCTGTAAGACCACCAGCTGCTTATCTGGTGGTGTGTGTCTATACATATATATATATTTGTTTATCAGTTCTCCAGACTCCCCAGCATGTATTGCCCCCTTCTTTTCTAGCAGAGTATGAGAGTCCTAGCCGCTTCCGGTTCCCGGATGCTAGAGTGATGAACTGAGGAGGTTTCCTCCTGAGTGAGTTTTGTATAATGAACAAAATCAGACTTTATAGGTCATGTGTACCCACTCAGCGAGAAGAGAGCTATCATCATTATACTCTTTGCTATACCAAAGAATGATTATACAATAACAACTTATTGAGGATCCAGAGCACTTCCCCTCGATATTTTTACTCGGGCAGACCAAAGTTGTTGATCACAATTTCTTATGTCAGGCACTTTCACTAGATGTTTTCTGCCTGGATGGACTGCACTTGGCATAATCCTATGTATCCCAAGGTGCTTCCCCTGGCTATTTTTTGCCCAGGTAGACTGCCCTTGGCCTATTGAAATACAATTCACAATCTTTTTTAGCCCTATCCACGTCTACTTATTTCGTTTTTATCTGCCAACATACTATTGCTCACCTTCACTGTGTTTGGTACTATGGCTTGCTGCATATGTGGACTAAGTATGATATGTATGTTGACAATGGGCTGGTTATAGAAAACCTCACAATCACACTCATATCTGTAAATTTTCTTTGTTTTTATAATCCTACGTATCCAAGGCAATTCCCTTGGATTTTTTTTTTTTACCCGGAGAAACTGCACTTGTTGATCACTATATCTTATAAAAGGCATTTCCACTGGATGTTTTGCCTGGATGGACTGCACTTGACATACTCTGATGTAACCCACTACCCTTGGCACATACATATTTGATCATACCTGTTCCAGAAGTAGTGCTACACCCCATAGGTGTGTTTTCTTTTCGTATTCTTGCACACCTGTTCTTTCGATGTGGTCACTTTCCACTTGATTGAAAATTGATGCACCTTCACTGACTCCTCCACCTTTGCAACGTGGAATTCTAGCTTTGGGTGAAGGGAGGTAAGACCGTTTCAGAAGTTAACACTTTCTTACACTGGAAATATACTTCTGATAGGTACTTACCTCCTCTCACCCACCCTTCCTCCCCACTGATATGCTACCTTTTCTGGTTTACACCTGCCAATTCTCAAAAGTGAGAATTGTTCTAGAATAGTAGAGTGAGATAGCTGCACTAGTATAGATGGTGCAATATGATTAGTGGAGGGTAGTCACATGATCAGCATATGTTCTGAAATGGAACAAAAGTACCTATTGGAAAGATATTCACAGTGTAAGAAAATGTTAACTTTTGGTGCAATAGATAAATTGGAATTTCAAATTAAACAACAGAGTGATAAAACAGTAATATTTTCTGTACGTGAACGTGTTTTTATTAAAGGAAATGGCTGAACAGTTCTCTCTTTGTCCCGGAGGAAGACAAGTCCATCTACTGAAAAGTGCTAAGGTTTTGTCCAATTATTTTTAAATATTATTTATCACACTTTTTGATCCCATGCATTTTTATAAGTACTGCCCTTCTTTTTAATTTAACAAAATAATTCATAAAAAATATTAAGTTATAAAGATGAGTCTGTGAATCTTTTAATTGGTAGAGTTCAAACAGTGATTTTAAAAACCAGAATTTTTAGAGATATAGTTCATTTTTAGTGTTGAAGTTTTGAGTTACTGGACATAGTATTTCAGATATTGTCACTAAAATACTATTTGAGATATTCTTGGTCTGGATTTTGTATTTGGAGATTATGCCTAGTTTAGAAACATTCTAAGCTAAGTCTGCTGAACCATTCAAAATTTTTGTACCTACAATGCTATTCATTTGTTAACTACAGTTTTCATAGCTATGCACGTATTGTACATTTCATGTTCAATTTTGTGTTAAAGAAATAGTTTCATGGGTGCCCTCTTGTAAACGTTTTACAGGCTTGTGTAGATGACACTGCATAATAATGAATTGCCATTATTTTTATCAAATTCAATGCTCATTTGAAAGAAACATTAGTGTTCTCACAGTAAAATTCTGTAACACTAACACTTTTTTTAAATAATGGTAATAAGAGATAATTCCATGCATTAAGGCTTAGTTAAAAAGTTTTGAATGACACATGCTTATATGAATATTTACATACTTACAAACACACATATACAAAATTTTGTATTGTGACACATATCAAGTTGAAAAGTAATGGAATAATAAATTTTAAATTATTATTCACCACAAGAATGTTAAGGCATAAAAAAACAACAACAATATATTTGTGAAAATAGTTTGTCTTTTAGCAATTTCCATCATTAAAAATTCATATAGTTTTTAATTTGCAAATTAGTATATAAAATGTAGTAATTTGTTATGGGATACATCTTACAATAAAAACAAAAAAACACCAGTTACATATTCTAAAATAAAGTAAAGAGTTTCTTTTATCCTTGCATTATGCAAATATTATACATTTGCTTTTGTCTTGTACAATATTAATTTGTAAACAAAATGACATTGACTCATTATTATTGATATTTGAAATTGACATAATGGCATTTTGATGTGTATATAAGAAATATAGTCTGTCAATCTACAGAAGAAATGTACAAATAACATATTAGATAAGAAAGTCGAAAGGTGAGAAAGAATGTAAAATACAATGATGGTCTTGTCATGAGAACTGTGTATTCATACACAAAGTACTATTTTTAGTTATTATAAACATCATGCATAGAAAAGTGTTTGTTAAATTACACCTTCGATCCTCAATGTTTACAGAAGCTTTACTAACCAACCTTCAAATAACTGTTGGCCTGGCATGGCTAGGTGATTAGAGCGCTCGACTAAACAATCTGCAGGTGGTTAGAGCGCTCGACTCGCAATCTGCAGGTCACCGTCACACCAAACATGCTCGCCCTTTCAGCTGTGGGGGGCATTATATAGTGACAGTCAATCCCACTATTTGTTGGTAAAAGATTAGCCCAAGAGTTGGCAGTGGGTGGTGATGACTAGCTGCCTTCCCTCTAGTGTTATACTGCTAAATTAGGGGCAACTAGCACAGATAGCCCACATGTAGTTTTGCACAAAATCCATAACAAACAAATACTGTTTGTTTCTTTCCTTTACAGAAAAAGAACCTTCAACCAGAGTAATGTAGTTATCCAGTATGCAAGAAAATGTAATTTTTACATCTGAATGAAACAAAAAGTATGTATAGTAGTATTTAAAATAACACAAAAATTAAATAACAAAACACGACAGCATGAACACAATACATATAGTTGGTATTATAATCATGAAATGCCAGTTTACCTCTTTAAGATAGCTTTGAGAAATGTAAATTAATGTATATTTTTGCAGCAATTTATGAAAAATACTGTTTTAAATAAACTACTGTATTATATATATATATACTGTGGTATTAAACTAAAAGTAATCACACCTTAACACTTCTTAAAATAAACAATAGCTTCATTCACCAACTGTAGTAATTTATAAATGATTTACTGAACTAGGATTATTCTTTGTTAGGTTGATAGTCGAACCACAAAGGTAATCTGTGTGTTGTTAACAAACAACGATAACACACAATTACCGCAGTGACATAACACTGAAGTGTATGGTGTAAATAAATAAAATAATAGATCTCAAGCATCTAATTATAGGTGATAGATAATATTCTTGAAATCTACTTCTCCTGCATTTGAAAGCTGTTGTTTAATAATCCAGTAGTAACAGAAGGCAAACTGATGTATAGATTACAGAAGTTTGTTGTTTGCTGCAAAGCAAAAAGCTACATACACATTTTGATTTCATACTAGCATAAAGTACCCATGCTTTGCTGTAGGATTTTAATGTCCCCTCATGAATCACACAGGTCTCAATGTACCAGCCAAGCATCTTCATTATCTTAATTACTTCTATAGTTATCCCAATGTGCCAATTCTTAACTTATTTGTCTGTTGCCATTTCCCAAACTTAATTCAATTCCAATCTTTTTAAAAGCAAATAGTTTTAATTTAGCTTCTTAAACTCGTTTTTTTATTCCTGTGTTTTTATTTGAATTATATTCCTATCACCAAATTCTCCAATATTCTCCTTCCTTTTAATATACTTACTTTTCTTTCACTTATAAGCTTCCAGAAACTTTTAGAAATCATCCTCAAACAAAAAACATAATTCATTTGTTCAGCTTACTCTCTTCTAAAAATAACTTTAGAAATATCAATTTAATTTTAAATAAAGGAAACATTTTAAACAGATACAGGAAACTCACTTTTAAAGGAATTTCTTCGGAACTGCTCCTCACTATCCTAATGAGGAAGAAAACAATCAAAATTTTTCTTAAACACTGTTTTAAGAAGTGGAAAGTAAATTTTAAAGATTAGAAACTAGAAAATGACAACAATTGCACAGTTGATGTATAAGCAACATGTTGCTTTTAAAAATATTTTACTGAAATTTGATATTTTATAAATCCACACTATACAATTTTCTTGGACTTGATAACTGGAGCATTGAGATAATTGTAACTCTACTTCCCCCTCCCAATCCAAATGCTAATTTCAGTTGTTCAGACATACATGCATGTTGAAGACACACCTTAGTATGAGTCCTTACAAATGGTTCATGAGTAAAATATATTATTTTAATACTAGAAATAAATAAAAACTACAGAAATTAAAATATATTATTGCTAGATACTGGAAGACAGATTAAATGTAAATAATTGTAAAATATGCATATTTCTATTTGGCATAAGCTTTGAACTTGAGACAGAAATCTTATAAGAATAGCTGAAGTCTTAACTTGTTAACTTCAACAGTGAAAAACAGTTTGAATCATTTATCACTGTTGTAAGCTGCTTCTGGTTCACCTGACCCTGAGTATTCTATATGAAATATTGGCATTGATATGCCTTGGTGATAACTCAAAAGATTTGAAAAATTCAAAAACAGTTAAATCACAAGGAACTCACAAAAAATTTCTTGGGTTTTAAAGGAGATTAAGGATCAGATATGCGAGCCTCTCTCTTTCTCTTTTATTTTTGGTAGTCAAACATTACACAGGTGTCTAAGGATTGGAGAATTACCAATGTTTCTCTTATTTTATAGATGGTTGATAAGAGTTGCCAGTTACGCTTACTTCTGTAATGTGAAACATTGTAGACAGTCTGATATAAGAAACTTTACCAAATTATTTAGTGAAATAAAATGAAAGAAAGCCAACATGGATTTATAAAAGGAAATATTGACTCACTAATTTCTTTTGAGGATGTTACATATTATCTAGCGATACTTATTATCCTGGTGTACAGAGATTTCAAAAATCTTTTGATAAGATGTCACACAAAAGATTAGTTAAAAAAATACACTGCTAAAGGCTGTTGAAAACTAAATGAATTGTAGAGTGTTTGGATATGAGAAGACCAAATCTTGGGTCCAGTCAAACTGGACCTTTGCTACAAGTGGCATCCTTCAGGGGTCAAAACATGGCCTTCATTCTTTCCCTATTTACATTAATGATGCTGATAGGGGCCATAATTAATAATTTAGTAAAGTTTTCTGATAGCATTAAAATCTTGAACATTTCTAGTTGTATTGAGGATGTCGAGGTACTACAAAATGACTTGGATCAGTTGGTAAGTTGGACGTAATTGGCAAATGACCTTTAATTATAAGTAAGTGCAAAGCAATGCATTTAGGTTAACATAATTTTGATCAGATGTTTCATATAGATGGAAACTACTCAAAAGGATTTTGTCAGAAATAAGTCAATCAAAGTATCAAAGTAGTGTTTTGTTGCTAGTAGTAACTAATAGAATACTTGAATGTATTTATAGACATATTGATTACATGTCAAAAGAGGTATCTCTCTATACAAACCACTAGTTATGACACAGTTGGATTATCTTTTGCAGTTAATTTTAACCTCTTCTCATCTGTAAAACGAAACTGATTTACTAAAAATGGTTTAGAGAAGGCTACTAGGATATGGATAATATCTTATGTGGATAAGTTATTTTAAATTACTTTCTCTTCCTTAGAGTGAGAGGTGATCTTATCCAATTTTAAAGATTACACAGGGAATCAATAGGATAATAACCTCCAACTTCTTTGTGCTTACTTAGTGAAAGGCAGCAACTTATACAACATTGAGAGAGAAATAGATGATTTCCTGAAAAAATAAAGAATGAATTAATTTTTTTATTTCCTCACAGGTGAGAGTGCAGAGAGACCTTTGGAGAACCAGTGGTCTCTTGTTGTCCATAATGTTTTGTAAACTACAGTGTAGCAGATATGTCCACGTTGCTTATAAGAAGTGTGGATTTTGAGAAGAGAGCTAATTAACGTGACACACTTCTATTTAGTGATGTTACGAGAAAGTAATAGTTGAAAATCTTCTTGTTTAGCTTGCTTTTCTGTAAGTGTGGGTGAAGAGTTGAGAAACACTAGCTTGGACAAGAAAAGTAAAGTTGATATGTTACCGCTTTTAATTGTAGAAGTTTGACATGTTTTTAGTATGAACCAATAAGATCTCAAAACCACAGGCAAGTCCCTGTTTTAAGTAATACTAAGTGTCATTTTTAAGATGCAGTTCTTGTTTTATCATGGACTTTATATTTGATTAAGTGTGGATAAATCCTGTGACTAATGACTGATGGCTCCTAGTATTAGAGCTAGGGTACTTCTTTACTGACATCTAGCAAGCAAACATGAAGAGTAACAAAGATTTTGGTTCTAAATGCACAATACATTGTCCTAAAAGCATTAAAGTGTAGAGTCATAAGAGGAAAGATATCTTAATTTTAGTCAGTTTCTATTTTGTCTCTGGCATAAAATGTTTATAAAGTGATATAAATATAGCCACTCTTTCAGCACTAAAAAAATAAGCATACACCTATACAAACATCTCATTAATCTAAAGTTTAGTACCTTTATGATGAATCTCGTTAATCTAAAGTTTAGTACCTTTATGATGAACATTTACCATGTGTTTACTGAAACAATAAACATATACCTATACAAACATGTCATTAATCTAAATTTAGTACCTTTATACCTCAGCTAGCTTATTGTTCACTAGGATGTAAGATCTTAAAGAATGCAGCTTCAGTTTTATTTTCAATTTTCCATTTTTTTGAGACGTGTTTCAATTAAAAACCCTAGTAAATTCATATTTTTTATCTATAATAAATTTTAGTAGCTTCAAATTATTTCACAGACATAACTACAGTATGTTTGGGAATTAATAAGGTCTAAATGCTCAATATACAAGCTACCAATGAAAAGAACAGTACTTACTTCAATGTCTTTTTCATTAGTAGAAAAACAGTGAGATATTTGATGATACTGTGTAAAAGAAAAGAATACATAATGTTAATATAAACTCTTACAGGTCTAATAAATATATCAATCATTCCAAATGATACTTTAAGATTTACAAGGAAACAATTAGAAATACTCAGAAGCAAAGATACTTGAGACATTGATAAAAGGATGTTAAACTGATCTTGGGGTTATATATATAGACACATGTTAGTACCAAGTAATTACATAAGTTGTTATCAATATGACACATATATCTCAACATTTACTAATAATTTAGTAATACAGTGAATTCCAGAACAATTTAAACAACGTATTTGAAGGGTACTCACATTTTCACTTTTTACTGTATAAAATACAAAAATGAAAATACCCTAAAAAGAAAAGAAAACAATTAATTAGCTAATTAAGCTAATAAACAAATAAATGCACATACATATCTGCTTTTCCAAAACTCTTATTTCTTTCTTTATAAATACGATTTAAAACAGCACTTGTGTAAAGGTTAATAAAACTAGAAACACCACAACATTAAAACGCATTGTACAATAAAAGTTTAATAAACAGAACATAAGGCTCTGTTAGACATTCTCTATGTGTTGCGGCAGTGAATTAACTACCACCATCGTCATCATGAGGATTGGGAAGTTACAATAAGAGAAATTATATCTTAACAGATGCATGATCATACCAAATTTAAATAATTTACATAATTAGCCAATATGTTACACCCTCCAAATTTACATAATATATTTACAAAATTAATTTCTGTGATACCTAGACCAAAATTTTTATTTAGAATAATACTACAGTTTTTCATGATCTCCAAACATTCTTTAATATTTAATTAGTTCTTATGGCCAATCTTATTAGCCAATTGAATATTATGATAATTGACAGAATAGCCACTTCTTGCCACATGTTCAGCCAATAACTTTATGTTTATCTATAGCATGTTTATGTTCCTTAACTCTAAGTTTTAAATTTCTGCATGACAACCAACGTAAGTTAAGCTACAGTTCCATGGAATTTCTGAGAAACCACAATCAAGATGAGGTTCCAATTTTCTTAAAACTAACAATAAAATTTGTTAACTTACAATGGAGCAATGTTATGCTACATTTACTGTGATTTTTAAATATATTACCTATTTATTTGGAAATACTCTGAGCATATGGCAAATATGTTTTCACACATTTCCTGGTACATTGTGATGATACTTTTAACCTGTTATAAATCATGTCAGTAATGTTAAGATTAAACTCTCTACGAATGGCAAAACACTTTAAAAGATTCAACTCAGACATTATATCTTTACAATAGGTTTAGATATTTAAAGCCTTGAAAATAAATGTAGAAAAAGCCAACAATTTTTGTGACCAGAAGTGAAATAATTCCCTGTGTTGTGGCATAACAACTGAAAAGACTTTATTGCACACCAACGTCTAAAGAAATCCTCCATCCGATTTCATGTCCAAGTAATTCAAACAAGCTTCATTTTCAGTTTCTAGCATGAACTGAAATACATTAATGGATCACTACCATGCCATCACATACGAAACATGTCATCCATATATCTCAATCACACAGATAGTTTAAATACAGTGGTTTTTGAAGGTCAGGTTTCAAAATCATGTACAAAAAGCTTACACAGTTAAAAAGGGAGAACAAGGTAGATCCCATAAACTAAGCATTAAATTTGCCTGTAAAAAGTTCCCCCAAATTTAAAATATACACCAGAAACACAGAAATGGGTAAGATTTACAATTACAAAAAACTAACAAAGATATTTTATCACTCACTAATTCTCTAAATCTGTAAATGTAGAGGTCATAATAGGTTGATTATTATGAAAATTTTTTAAATCTTGTAAGTACATGCATCTGTTAAGGTATATAAGTTGTTTTTATTAAACCTCTTTGCTTCTTTTGATGATATAAAAGTGCGTATGTGTGGGTAAATCAATGTATGGGTAAATAAACAAAGAGTTTTAGCAGTGTACAGGTTATTGTATGATAGGTGGCGATAAAGTTATTGAAAACTCAACACATTGTTCTGTTTTGACTGTTGTAAATAACAGCATGATTAAATAGCAATAAAGTTCCTAAAATGACCACATATACTAACCAATCAAACATAACCCAAAGTTTTATTATGCAGATAAATAATTATTTTAGATTCTATGTGTGTAAGTCACTCCTCTTGTTCCTTTCAAAGGATGCCATTAGTAGTTTGGTACAGGACTATCTGCACTAGCTGTCCTTAATTTAGCAGTGATAGACTAGACAGAAGGCAATTAGTCAAAAGCACCCTCCCAACTCCTGGACTACTCTTTTATGAACAAATAGTGGGATTGACTGTCACATTATAATGCCACACCAGCTGAAAGAGCAAGCATCTTCAGCAACAGGGATTCAAACCTTCAACCCACAGATTATCAGTTGAGTGCCCTAACCACCAGGTCATGCCAGGTCCCATGACCTAAAAAACTCCTGATGTAAGTACAGATACATTAGACGTATACCAAAGAGACCAAACTACTGATGGCATCCTTTGAAAGGAACAAGAGGAGTGACTTACACACAAAGAATCTAAAATAATTATTTATCTCCATAATAAAACTTTATAGTTGTACAGAAATGAAAAAAGCGTTTTTTATAGCATGAAGTTCAAGATTATCCTTCAAACAACACAGTTTTTTGAATCACCCTACCCTTGGATTTTTTCAGTGGATGCTCTTTAAAGGCATACGTTTTTTCAGAAACTTTAGCAATTTACCAAGTAGAATTCCGAAAAGGTTTAATGAAGAAGCTCCAGTAAAACGTAAACAATTTATATATGTATTTTGAAAGTATAAGCATACACCTTTCACACTGTACAAAATCAAAATACTAATATTAGATACACAAACTATTTTAAAGAGTTGGTAAAATTACATCAAACATCAACATAAGTAAAATAAAACTACAGTTTTATAAATATGCACACATGTATTTCTAGATTGATTTATTTAATAACAGAAGAGACCCAATAATGGAGCTATTAGAAGTTTGTCTTCCATTTTCAGAGGTGAAGATATATATCAAGGAACACTCCGAGCACATACTTCTTGCAGAGCAGGTTAGCATTAGAGTACAGATAACAGAGGAATATCAGTGGTTCTCAAACCAATTTTTATATTATTTCTCTAGCTGAAATACTTATGGATTAGTTTTCGCATTGTCTTGATTATAAAAAATTCACAGTTACAGGTAATGAAAGTTATAATTTTCCTATACTGAAAATGTATTTCTGATAGGTACATACCTCTTCTCATAAAATTAGCTACTTTCATTCAATGCTGCCCTCTATATGCAAACTTTTTCTTTATGCATGCCACAAGCCTTCTGCTCTCCCTTATTGGAATTGAACGATTCCAAAGTGTCTCTCATGCAAATCATCATGCGTCACTTCTCCACCAATAGGAGCATGAAGACTTAAGCACTGGAGGAAAGTGGGAGGGAAGGGAAGGAAGTGTGATAGGAGGTAAGTACTTATAAGAAATACATTTTCAGTCCAGGAAAATTATGACTTCAGATATGGTACTTACCTCCGCTCATAAAATTAGCTACAATCCCACATTTAATAGGAGGAGGGACCGGTGAAAGGGAATTATAGAAGTACCTCACAAAAGTGTCCAAAGGATACCCATAGAAATGAGAGAGTAAGATCTGAAAATTAGATGAGGCTCATAGCAAAAGCATCCATGTGTGGAGAAACTACTGAGGGGAAAGCTCCCTGAAAAGAAGGGGGTTTAAGAACCACATATCTGTCACATATATCCAGTCAGGGCGAAAAAGATGATTAGCAAGAAAAGTGAAAGTGCTCGGCACATGACATGAAATAAGATGAATGTTTTGCCTCTGGGCCCAGTATAAGAGGTCCAACATCTGAAAACATAGATCTCTTAACTGAGTGCTCACTTGGTAATTGAGATATGACACCCCCCATAGAATTGTCAGAAAGAGCCATCACTAGAGAATGTCAGGCATGAAGAAGGAGGTGATTCAATGCCCAATGTATAGCTAGAAGTTCAAGAACATTGATATGCAAAGTAGACCTATGGCCCAAAGCTTACTTGTGGTTGACCCATGCACCTTAGCCCAGCAGAGATGAGTTAGTGAAAGGATGTAGATCTGGACACAGGGGAGGAAGTGGCATGCCTACTAAAGTATGTGGCTCATACAACCGCCAAAGTAGATTATTTTGCCTGGTAAGAAAGGGTAATGGGAAGAGAATGAGGATCCCGTGCAAAGTTCTATAACTCGGGAAGAGCCTACTGACGGAATCTCGTATGGGCATAACTGAGAGGGGCCAGTGATGCCATTGAAGACCACATCTCCAAAGGCGATAGAACCTTGCAAGCAGTAAGTGATGAACCTGAGAGGGTGTGGCAAACAAACAACTCCATAGAACTAAATCTGACAGAAGGCTGGGCTTAATTGATACAAGTGTAAAAAAAGATCCCCAAATGTATTAGATGTTGAGTAGGTCTGAAGAAGGACTTTTCAGTTTGGTTAACCAACCCGCTCGAGCAACCACTAAAAGGAGCTGCTGAGTATGGCTTGCCAACTCCAGTTTGGAATAAGCCAGGAGAAGCCATTTGTCCATGTAATAGTGAAACTCAACCCCAGAGCACACAGATGTTGAGCAATTGCTCGGACTACCCAACTTAAAACATATGGGGCTGAAGCAAACCTGATAAACCACCCTGAGATGGGCAAACTGAAGAAAAGGACGGGACCTGAGAAAGAATGCAAGTCACTTGTGTGAACCCCGAAGTGGGAACAAAAACTTCAGAGTTCACGAAATTTGAGCAGCGAAAAAGAATAATGCAACAGGAACTAATGGAATTTTTTAATTGAAGAAACAGTCTAAATTAAAACTAAATAAAATAAAGAAAACCACTTTATGAGGAAACTTAAGCTGAACATGAATATTTAAACAAAAAAAAGCACCTCTGAACACAAGCAGTGCCAAACAAGAAGTGGCAGTTCAGTAGAGGAGTATAGAGAGAGACACGTGAGCATGTCATGCTCCTATTGGTGGAGAAGTGACGCAAGATGATTTGCATAAGAGACATGTTGGAATCGTTCAATTCTAATAGGAGAGAGCAGAAGGCTGGTGGTAAAGAGAAAGTTCACATATAGAAGGTAGCACTGATGTAAATAGCTAATTTTGTGAATGGAGATAAGTACCGTATCAGAATATTAACTCTCTCAACATGGGCTCGGTCAATTTGACCAAACACGTGACCTCTTTGTATTAATTTAAAATCTTTATAGATTTAATAGTTCTAACTTTCAGTGTGTATATCTTCTCAAAATTTGGCCCTCTCAGTTAATATTATGTCTTTCACATACAAAAAATTATATTTTTTAGTGAAGTATTTTTAATTAAATAAAATAAAGGTTTGTCCATGAATATATTGATTCTTTGTTTTGAATAGTCCATGTCTAAAGTAATTTTCATGTTAAAATTAAAAATACTTTTCCTCATCTGAAATTTCCTGTAATCCATAAAACCTTCTAAATGCATTTCAAACGTTTTTATCTCAGTAAAACTTTATAGTTTATCTGTTATTTTCTCTACCATATCTCAAAATGGAACAAGTTAAATTCAATCAACCTCGTAACCACCAAAGAAAATCTAGATAAATCTAAATTACCCTTTTTTTTCTTTATAGAATGACTTCAAACTATAACATCAAATTACATTTATTTATCCAAAGTACACTGAGTGATCACAAGTAAATAGACACCTAATTTTTCGTCATTTAACTGATTTATGCTAACAAATTTGTGTTCACAGAGCACTATATAAATGAAAATGGTCCGCACACTAATTATCTTGTGTTACAACATGCCTAGAATTCAAGGTTCTCTCGAATTGTCAGATTTTGTTAGAGGAAGGATAGTTGGTCAACAGATGGTGGAATAAGTCAGCAGCAAATTTCGCAGAATTTGGGAATCCCACTTTCGACAGTCAACAGAATCATTCGAGCAGTTCAGGAAACAACTGAGCAGCGTCCGGATTGTCCTGGTCCATTGGAGAGGAC